GCTTCAGTGCTTAAAGGGAGTCCAGAAAGGGAGATGGAGCTCCCTCTTCCCCAGGTCAGATGAGATAGGAAGACCCCAAATTAGAGAAAGCCCCTAATTTTGGCACAGGGGCCTCTGATGGAGTAATATAGGTGTCTGTATTACTGAGAATGATGGTCTGGGTGCTTCCTTCTTGTGTTTGTGTCTCTGGTTATATAAGTCTGTAGATGTATGTGTGACTGTATCTTGTGTTTGCTTATTTATATCAATATACATTATGTATATTACATACCGGTCATGGTGGTGAGCTAAGAGAGAAGGGAGTCAAGTTAACATTGACATGAGACTTTCTCATATGAGAACTAATTCACTGTCAGATGCTGCTTGTCAAGCCAGGGAGAAAGGTGTTCCTGAGGGAAACACAGGCTGTGTAGGAAAAGCAGCATTGCTGAATGTGGGGACCTTTAACTTCAGTCCCATCTCTTCATGCTGGAGCCCTGTTAGCTTAATACAGAAGACCAAATTAGGATCAGGGTCATGAAAAATTAACTTTAAATTAAGCAATGTAGGCCAGGTGCAGTGGCTCACGCCTGTAATCCTAGCACTCTGGGAGGCCAAGGCACGCGGATCCTTTGAGCTCAGGAGTTAGAGACCAGCCTGAGCAAGAGCGAGACCCCATCTCTATTAAAAATAGAAAAAATCAGCCAGGCATGGTGGTGTGTGCCTGTAATCCCAACTACTCAGGAGGCTGAGGCAGAAGAATCACTTGAGACCAGGAGTTTGAGGTTGCTGTGAGCTAGGCTGACACCATGGCCCTCTAGCCTGGGCAACAGAGTGAGACTCTGTCTCAAAAAAAAAAAAAAAAAAAAATTAGGCAATGTAGACTAAGGAAAACTTAAGTCATGAAATTGAACAAGAAAAAAATAAGCAAAGCAAATTTTTTCACCAACTTTCATTTTAGTCATCTTAAATAAATATTTTGGAGAATTGGAAATAAGTTAACATTGCTCTATTGTACTTAAGATACAGAAAGCCCTTTGTTAGTGTTTCTTTGAAGTACATTTTAATAGAGATGAGCCATTCTTATAAAATTTTTATACACTTCCTTTAAAATAAATGCAGAAATACTAATATGTGATCCTGACAAAAATATATTACATTATTTATTATTTGCATATATTAGAAATATTTGTTTTTGAAATTGCAACATATAATGTGTTCTTGCTACTAACAGCTTCACTTTATTTTCCTTATTAGCCAAGATAATTTACATTTTATAGCTCTTTCTGTTATAACCTTTCATAAATAATGGCTTCAGTCTAGGTGTCATAAATGAAAAATTCTTAGGTCAATAAACATCTACTTTAGAATAAATATCATTTTGATTCCATCTTCTATGGTGAAGAAAAGAAAGAAAAAAATCACTATCACATAGTTTACAAAAATTTAATCCAAAAATTCTTAGTTACTTGTCTTCTACTTGGATTGAAATGTTTTAGATTCAATTAAACATGAACATTCACGCTTAGGTCTTTGCAGTTTTAGAGAGTCCAACTATTGGAAAAGGATTTCTGAAAATTTTGTGAAATCACTAAAAATTGACAGGAATTGTCAAATCCCTTCTTACCCAGTCCTTAGCCCTCTGTTGGCGATACTCAGTTAATGTTGAATTATAAGCATAGCATAGAGCAATGAGGGAGCAGAGCTCCCTCTTGTGTGGGAAATCAGAAGAAGCCATTCATATTCACGTTTGATCCAGAACCTCATTAGTATATTCCACATGCAGGGGATGGAAAGATAAAGACCCTGCCCTCAAGGAGATTAGAGTCTAATGGGGAGAAGGATGGTCAGACAATTAGAATGCAATGTAATTATTATTATTGTGGAGGTATGTTTAACATGCAATCAGAATGTTTGAGGTGGAAATATTGGCACTAGTGGCGTCAGAGGAAACTTCACAGTAGGTAACACGAGCTGAGACTTGAAGAGTGGAGAGACGTTTGCCAAGGGTGTGAGAGCATTCCAGGCAGAGGAAATAACTCACACAAAGGGATGAAGGCTTGAAAGAGCATGTCAGATTCAGGCAGAGGCGAGTGGCTCAGTATGGCTATAGATTAGGCTGGACAAAATATGGAGATGCAGAGATAGGTGGGCCCAGACCACAAAGCACTTTATATGTGACAGTAAGAAGATTAGATTTTACCCAGAGCAGAGAAGTGAAATGGTTGTATTCACTTATTATAAAAATTATTCTGGAGCCAGGCAAAGGAGGATGAGGCTGAGTTAGGGCAGAGGTAGTAGGGGAGGGAATGCATGGATAGTTTCAAGAAAGATTTAGGAGGTAAGATGGTCCAGGTCTCTGGCTTATTAGATTGACCAAGTGGTGATGCTGTCAAAGAGACGAAGACAACAGAATGAAAAACAGGGTAGAGACAGTGAATTCTGTTTGGAGCCATGTTAAATTCGAGCCATGAAGGGAACATCCAAGTGAAAATGTCCATGGGGTGGCTGGCCCTCTTGAGTTTGGAGCCCATGGAAGGTCTACCTGGAGACATTTGAGAACCATTAGCCATTGGAATGGATGAGATTGCCTGGAAATCTTGAATAGTGCTAAAGGGAAAAAGCCAAGACAGATTCCTGAGGAGCATAAACATTTAATAGAGAGGAAAAAGAAGTAGCAGAGGAGCCAGCAAGGGATGGCCAAAGGCAAGAGACCCAGGGACCATGGTGTCATGGACGTCCAAGAAGAAAAAGTTTGAAGAAAGAGAGCGTGGTTCGCATTATCAAAACCACGGGGAGGTCAAGATGGATGAAAAGTGAAAGCTTCCCTTTGGATTTAACTTTTAGTGACCTAATGAAGAAGGCAGGGATGAGGAAAAGTCAGATTGCAATAGGATGAAGAGATAGGCAGTGGAAATATAGGCTATTCTTTCAAAGAGCCTGGCTGTGAAGGGGAGAGATTAGGATGGGAATGTAGCTGGAGAGGACCCAGAAGATCAAGGGGGAAGCTTCCTTTTCACTGTGTTTTTAGGATAGGAGAAATTTAATTTTTAGGCAGAGAAAGAGAAGCTGAAAAGCTATGAAGGGGAAGGGGATAGCTGATGATAAAAGTAGTAAAGAAGGCGGGCCTGGTGCCTCATGCCTATAATCTTAGCACTCTGGGAGGCTAAGCTGGGAGGATTGCTTAAGGTCAGGAGTTCGAGACCAGCCTGAGCAAGAGTTAGACCCCTCTTTACAAAAAATAGAAAAATTAGCTGAGCATAGTGGTACAAGCCTATATAGTCCCAGCTACTTGGGAGGCAGGAGGATCACTTGAGCCCAGGAGTTTGAGGTTGCTGTGAGCTAGGCTGACACCACGGCGCTCTAGCCCGGGCAACAGAGTGAGTGTCTGTCAAAAAAAAAGAAGAAAAAAAAAAAAAAAAGAAGAAGAAGACAATGCATGATCAGACTAAATTATGGAGCCTCCTGGACAAACCAACACCCCAGTACAGATCATACTTAGGGAAATAAGCAAGACTGGATCATTGATCCTACGATGCATTTTCTTTTTCACATTTTGATATTTCTGATATTGGGTGTGTCTTACCAGTTAATTGGCAGTAGTTTTATTTTTCTTTCTTTGTGGTACCAAAAATAATAGTGTGTCTTCTACCCCATTCTGTCTGAGATATAGCTAAACTCAGTGAATTCAGGTACCATTTTCCCAATATCCTAACTAGAAGATATCGACAAAGAGACAAACTAGAGTCAAACAAGCTCTAAGATCAGGCGACGGGCAGAGAAGACCACAGCTAGGATTTGAGCTGAAACGTGGCCTGGGAATTTGAAACAAACAGAAGGGCCAATGTTGACGATGTGTGGAATAGCACGACATCTGGCCCCAGCACTGGGCCTGGCACAGGGCAGGGGCCCCTTCAGTGCTTTTGCATTCAGGTGACTCACTTAAGCTCCACTGTTCTGCAGTTGCCAGAACAGGAGCCAGAGTGCTTGAGAAAGAAAGCTAGACAGAACAATGTGGACACTGCCGGGCCTGGAAACTAGTCCTCTGATGATATAGTTCAATTATACATTTAGCAGAGCTGTCTGGCCTTAGTTCCTTTGGGGACAGAGGAAGAAAGCCAGTCTTTTTATATCTGTACCATCTTTCACCCTTATGCCTTCACTTGACAGTAAATATAGCTCTTCTTATGTTCTGTCATCTATCTGCTTGTGCAGATAGAGGCCTGAAGGAGATAAAAGAGAATTATATTTATTGAGACAGTCCCAGCAGAAACAGAGAAGCCTCAAGGGTGACTGCACTGATTTAGGGGACTTGGGGTTAGGAAAGGAGCATGGGACAACAGAGACTGTTGCCGAGACCCTCGTCTGCCATAGCCGGCTGGTGGGGAGAGGGACGGCTGAGGGGCACTGGGATGGTGGCAACAGTGGAGTCTAGGGAGGCACAAAATGTGAGGTTCAGGCAGGGTGTGGTGGCTCATGCCTGTAAACCTAGCACTCTAGGAGGCTGAGGTGGGAGGATCATTTGAGCTTGGGAGTTCGAGACCAGCCTGAGCAAGAGCAAGACTCTGTCTCGACTAAAAAAATAGAAAGAAATTAGCTGGACAACTAAAAAAAAAAAAATATATATATATATATAATAAAATAAATATATAAAATATATAAAATAAAATATATAATAAAATAAAATTAAAAATATATATAATATATAAAATAAAAAATATATATACATATATATATAAAATTAGCTGGGCATGGTAGTGCATGCCTGTAGTCCCAGCTACTCAGGAGGCTGAGGCAGGAGGATTGCTTGAGCCCAGGAGTTTGAGGTTGCTGTGAGCTAGGCTGATGCCATGGCACTCTAGCCCGGGCAACAGAGTGAGACTCTGTCTCAGGAAAAAAAAAAAATGTGAGGTCCAGAGAAGAGGGGCCTGGTGTTGCTTATCCTTTGTCATTTCTCCAGCACCAAGAACAGTGCCAGGTCCTCAGAAAGACACTCAATATCTATTGTTCTTGTACAGCATTGCCTCTCCCGGCACCCTCCCACCAAAATGGCTGCTTTCGGACGCACATTCCCCTTCTATACTGGCCCCAAACCAACCTTCCCAATGGACACCACCTCAGCCGTCATCATCATCATCTTTTTGACTGCACTGGTCACCTTCATCGTCATCCTGCCTGGCATTCGGGGCAAGATGGTGAGAAACAAACCCAACCCCGGAGACCCCAGCCCCAGAGAGACCCCAGCCTCAGTATGAGGGGTCCAGATTCAGAAAAGAGACTCTGGTGCTGAGAAAGCATCACCAACACGCCAGGCAGAGAGCGCCCCGCTCTCTGATTCAACAGACAGTATTGAGCGTGTATATTACGTGCCAGACACTCTGATCTCAGTTTTAGAGCCCCTGCCCCTCCCCCAAGTCTGGAAAGAGGAAGGGTGGACTTGGAAGGAGGGCACTCCTTACTGAACCCACCCACCCTATGACTCAGAGGCTGTTCTGGCTGCTTCGGGTGGTGACCAGCTTATTCATCGGGGCTGTGATCCTAGGTAAGTGTGAAGTGCAGCTAGTGTGGGCAGCCACCTCCATCCCATCGACTCCCCTTAGCAACCCACCTGTCCTCCTCTTGTTTCCCCACAGCTTCAGGTGGCTTCAAGACCACCTTAGCCCCTTGCACTGTGGCCTCAGCCCCTCACTCTTATACTTGCCCAGAGAGGTGTGGCCTCAGGAAACATCTCCTCAACCTTCCTAACCTTATTATTCAGGGGAAAGCAGGTCAATGTGAATGTCTGTGGGCAGAGGACTTCCGGAGAGAGAAGCAGAGAGAATGGGGGAGGGCTGCTTGCTTTGCTTGGGGGATTAGGCAAACAGGAGAGAGAGAAGGTCTCTGTGTTGAGCTGTGTTTGCCCATCATGGTTTATGTTAATGCTTTCTCCCCCAAGTCCGAGTGACTCACACTAAAATGGGGAGAAAGGGAAGGAAGGATAAACAGAGTGTGACCATGGGAAATCTTGGACTCTAACCCATCTACTCATCCTACACATGTGGTTGGCAGACTTCCCATGAGCCAGTCCCTGGGTTAGTTAATGAGTATACGATTATAACCAGAACAGGCATGGCCCCCTCATAGCTTTCCTTCTGACTCTAACCAAGTAATGCCCAGACCTAAGTTCCCATATGTCCAACTCCCCAACCCTAGCTGTGAATTTCAGTTCTGAGTGGTCTGTGGGCCAGGTCAACACCAACACATCATACAAGGCCTTCAGTTCTTCATGGATCAGCGCTGATATTGGGTTGCAGGTTGGACTGGGAGGAGTCAACATCACGATCACAGGTAAGAGAGGACTCTTACCTAGGAGGGAGAGGGAGGCTCTGCTGTCTTTAGGATCTATGTCTGGTGTGATCCAGAGAACTACAGGATGCCTGGCACTGGGGCTAGGAGGATGTGTGGGTGTTGGAGGGATGGTAGGAAGGGAAGTTCAGAGCCTTGGAAGCTGCCTTCTCACAAGTGAGACCAGCTGTGGTCCCTCTGCCCCATGTGAGTCACTGGGCTTCTACCCAGGCAAATGCTCCACTCTGGCCCTTGGGTTCCTGCTGAACACAGATGCCCTGTTCCCCAGGGACCCCTGTGCAGCAGCTAAACGAGACCATCAATTACAATGAGGAGTTCATCTGGCGCCTGGGCGAGAACTATGCTGAGGAGTATGCCAAGGCACTGGAGAAGGGGCTGCCAGACCCTGTGCTCTACCTGGCCGAGAAGTTCACCCCGAGAAGCCCATGTGGCCTGCACCGCCAGTACCGTCTGGCGGGACACTATGCCTCAGCCACGTTGTGGTGAGGGTGGGAAGGGGATGGGGGGAGGCCCTGGTGGCTTAGACTCAGGAACAGGGTTTCTATTCATCTCTCCTCCACTCATGTGGATATCCGGGGGTGGGATGGTTGGCACCAGTCACCCCAGTGCTGGGTTGGGAAGCCCATGGGCAGTATTCCCTACCTCACATCTTTGGGTCATTCCTTTGTCCCTAAGCCTCCACCTGGGTCCCTTCAGCTTTGTCAGCAAGCAGAGGTGCCTGGGCCAGTCCTCACTGGGTCCTGGCTCTTCAGGGTGGCATTCCTCTGCTGGCTGCTGACCAACGTGATGTTCTCCATGCCTGTGCTGGTCTATGGTGGCCACATGCTGCTGGCCACGGGCATCTTCCAACTGTTGGCACTGCTCTTCTTCTCTGTGGGCACATCGCTCACCCCACCCTGTCCCCTGCGTCTGGGCACTGCTGTGCTGCTCACTCACCATGGGCCTGCCTTCTGGATCACACTGATCACAGGTGAGACCGAGTCCCAAAGACAGGCACCAGAGAGGCCTCGGGGCCAAGGAGGGTGGGCCAGGGGCCATTGTGTTGGTGGAGTCAAGAGTCTGCTGGTGGGGGTCAGAATGCCTTTGCCCTCTTTAAAGTCCCATCCCTCCTGTATCCCTTATTTCCTGGCACTGACTCTTTCAGTGCCACTTCTCCTCCTTCTTCATAGATGCCCACTTCCCTGTATCTTTTCTTTTCTTTTTTTTTGAGACAGAGTCTCACTCTGTTGCCCGGGCTAGAGTGCCATGGCATCAGCCTAGCTCACAGCAACCTCAAACTCCTGGGCTCAAGCGATCCTCCTGCCTCAGCCTCCCAGGTAGCTGGGACTACAGGCATGTGCCACCATGCCCGGCTAATTTTTTCTGTATATTTTTAGTTGTCCAGCTAATTTCTTTCTATTTTTTGTAGAGACGGGGTCTTGCTCTAGCTCAGGCTGGTGCCCTGTATCTTTTCTTGGTCACTGACATGTTTCCTCATCCCCTAACTCTCTTCACCCAGCTCCTTCCTAAATTTTCCATCCCCATGTTCCCTCCGACTTCCTCCAAACACCCTTCTCTGTGTCCCTATTCCTAGACTCCTTCTCTGTCCCTGCCCCACACAGCCCTAAATTATTCTACAGTTTTATTCTCCTCTCCTATCCCACTATGCCTACCCCTCATGCCTCCTCCTCTGTGCCCTGCTCTCCCACTAGGTCTTCTCTTTTCTCCAGTTTCAGAGTATGTGTTCTCTCTCTCTCTCTCTCTCTCTCTCTCTCTCTCTCTCTCTATCTTCTGGGCTATAACTGAAAGAGCACTGGGCTTGGAGTCTGGAAACTCAGGATAACAGAGCTGCACGTGCCATATGACCCTAAGCCAGTCACCTCTCTGAGCAGAAGTTGCCCTGAAGCAGGGACTCCAGGCCTCCCTTAGAGTTGTTCTGATGTTCCTGAGCAAAGATGTCCTTGGGAGGGTGTTGCTAGCACTAAGGCAGGACACCTGTTGCCCTTGTCCCCAGGACTGCTGTGTGTGCTGCTGGGCCTGGCTATGGGAGTGGCCCACAGGATGCAGCCCCACAGGGTGAAGGCTTTCTTCAACCAGAGTGTGGAGGAGGACCACATGCTGGACTGGAGTCCTGAGGAAGGCGGAGTCCTGAGTCCCCGCTACCGGTCCATGGCTGACAGTCCCGAGCCCCAGGACATTCCTCTGTCAGAGGCTGCCTCCCCCGAGCCATGCTGTAAGGAGGAGCACTGCGGAGAGTCTGGCTGTGCTCTATAACGTTCCTCTCCAGCAGACACCTGGACTTCCAGTCTGGCTCCAGACCTCATTGGAGCCCCATAAAACCATCAGAACTGCCCTCAGGGTGGGTGGGTTGTATCAGACCCCCAGCACCAATCGGTAGGGGTGGAGTACAAAAAGGAGGCTCTACCTACTGATGTTAAAAAACAAAAAGCCCTACAGTGCTGAAGAGATGTTGTGCCTGCCCATAAACCCTACTGCCATGGTAAGGCCAAGCAGGGCTGTCCTATTTCTGCACAGCAACCCTGCCTCTTCTTGGTGCTTGGCTGCTTCCGTGTGCCATTTGATGAAACCCAACTTCACCCACAAAACGGATGTGGGTGGAGGGACTACAGTGTGATTCTCATAAGGTCCCTCTCATCCCTCGGGAGCTCTTGTTTTCCTTTTTCCTGGGTCTCTTTAGTTCTTCCTTTACTTCCCCAGATTTTGTGACCTCTTGGGACAATGAAAGACAGAACTGGAAGGGAGAAGAGACCAAACTTCTCATCCCTGGTCACATATTAACCAGCTATTCCACATTCTCTTTGAGCTTCAGTTCCCAAATTTACTAAATAAGATTATAGGACTTGCCAAGGACCTAAGAAAAGAATCTCAGGATTTATATTTTTATGCCTTACTGACATCTACCTTGGCACTCAGACACCACCCCAAAGGGAGCCAGGTGGGAGGAATTAATGAATCAATTCGTTGGTCCAAAACGCCAGCCCACTCAGCGGGCCCTCCGGGTGGGAGGGTGACCTGCGAGGTCACTGCGACGGACCATCCACCTGGGGCAGCTCAGGAAGATGCTGGCTCGGTCGCTTTCCCTCAGGTCTCACTAGAGGGCGCTCCTCCCCCAGACCCTTTTCTGGTTTACTCTGGATTCTCCAGACTGAGAGAATCCCGTTTGGCAGCAGGATAGAGTGTTCCAGGCTGTCTCCAGCCCAAGGAAACCTCTCTCGAGGCCCTGTGTCCCCAAGAGTCAGAGAAGCCATGAAAATTAATGGGGGGAAAAAGCCTCTTAAAAAAAAAAAGAAAAAAAAAACTTTATTTACATCTCGCCCCAGGGGACTTTCCCTGGTGCCTGCCGCAGGTCAGAGGCCGCCCGGCCATTCTCCATTCTCCCCGGGCAGCAGCGCAGTGCCCTCCCAGAGCGGGCCAGGGGCACTGCTTCCTGGCCTGCGGGGTGCCAGGGCGGGGAAGGGTTCCGGAGTCGGGTCCCCATCACAGGTGAGTGGTGATCTTTAAGTCCGGGAGTCCGGACTGCTTGTGCAGCGGGTTCTTCAGGACGAGAGGCGAGCCCTCTCTCCCCTGGCTACTGCTGTCCTTCAGGCTTTGGTCCAGAAAGGCTCGAAGAGCGCTGGGCTGAGCGTAGTGGAGACTCACCACGGCCCCTCCGAGGAGGAGGCACAAGATCCCTGTGGCAGCGCGGACGGAAAGAAGCAGGGGAGCGGGGAGTCAGGGCGCCAGGCCAGAAGGCGGCCTGCCCTCCTCTATCTTTTTTTTTTTTTTTGAGACAGAATCTCGCTCTGTTGCCCGGGCTAGAGTGAGTGCAGTGGCGTCAGCCTAGCTCACAGCAACCTCAAACTCCTAACCTCAAGCAATCCTGCTGCCTCAGCCTCCCGAATAGCTGGGACTACAGGCATGTGCCACCATGCCCGGCTAATTTTTTCTATAGGTTTTCTATAGTTGTCCAATTAATTTTTTTCTATTTTTAGTGGAGACCGGGTCTCGCTCTTGCTCAGGCTGGTTTCGAACTCCTGATCTTGAGCCATCCTCCCGCCTCGGCCTCCCGGAGTGCTAGGATTACAGGCGTGAGCCACCGCGCCCGGCGCCTCCTCCATCTTTCTATGCCCGCCCCTCGCGTCCGCTCCCCAGACGCGCACCCGCGTGGCGGAAAGACCTCTGGCCTAGATTACAGGATGCGCGGGTTCCCGCGCTAACGGGAGCCAGACCCCAAACGCTTCCAACCCCGCTCTCTCCTCATCTCCAAAATGGGCACAACGATGCCTGTCTGCCTCTACGAACTCTCGAGAGGGGCAAATTAGATAATAGATATGGATTCATTTTGTAAAGTGGAAAGCGCACACCCGTCATAAATCCTGTCCGCACTCCCGGGCGCGTGCCCGCAGTCCTCACCGGTGGCCAGCGTGACCCAAAAGGCGGCGCCGTAGTGGGCGGTGAGCGCGGCGGCGCCCAGGCGGAGCGGGCAGAGCCGCACGCTGGAGACCGAGGCGAAGGCAAAGACGGCGAAGAGCGCGAAGGCGCCGGTGGCCAGCAGCGCCAAGCCTCCGTACAGCGGGGCCGGCATGGAGAGCAGCACGTTGGAGAGCAGCCAGAAGCAGAACGCCACCCTGCGGGGGTGGGAGGGGGGCCCGCCAGCCGTGAGCTGAGTTCTCCCAGTCGGTCGGTCGGGGTTCCCAGAGCCTCGATCCCCTGCGTCCCCGCCCCAGCGCGGAAGCGGGGATGGCGGAGGCGCCGGGGATCCTCCGAGCGGGAAGCGGAGGGCGGTTGCTGGGTGTCTCGGGGTTCCGTCTGTCTGTGCGGATCTCGTGGCCTTCTGCCCCGCGAGGCTAGAAGTCTCCGCGCGAGCGGTTCGCGCTGTAGTGGCAGATCACCTCGGAGGCCTCCACCCTCCCTTTCCCACGCCCGCGCGCGCGCGCGCACACACACACACACACACACACGAACGCACGCACGCACGCACGCACGCCCTTCCCTCCAGCGCTCACCACAGCGTGGCCGAGGCATAGTGTCCCGCCAGGTGGTACTGGTAGTACAGCCCGCAAGGGCTGCTCGGCGTGAACTTCTCCGCCAGGTAGAGCAGCGGGTCCGGCAACCCCTTCTCCAGTGCGCCCGCGTACTCGGCGGCGAAGTCCTCGTGCAGGCGCCAGGTGAACTGCTCATTGTAATCAATGGTCTCGTTCAGCTGATGCACTGGGGTCCCTGCGGAGAGCAGGGGGTGGGGGAAGGGTGTCATGGGGCTGCGTCCAGCCAGGGACCTCGAAAGTAAGCGGATTCAGATAAAAAAGGGGGTACAGCGGCCACGGCCGGGAGAAATGGGTTTGCTGGTGGTTGAGGGAAAATGCAAATCCATGAGGACCAAAAGCTGTTTGGGGCTTTAGGGTGTGAGAGGTCCTCCAGCTGCCCTTGCCACTCTCCCCTAACCGTGGGGTCTGCCAGCCCCAGGAATTCACTTCGCCCCAGCCTCCTCACCTGTGAGTGTAATGTTAACGCCCGCCAGGCCCACGCGCAGACCGACGTGTGCTCTAATGCGCTCGGCACTGAAGGCTTTGTAGGATGTGCTGGTGTTCACTGTACCCACGAACCATTCTGCACTGAAGTGCACCGCTGTGGGAAAGGCACACGGTGGGGGGACAGATGGAATTAGGAGATTGGTGATGGGGGCGGTGGGACACTGAGCAGAGACATGGGGATCTAGAGGTCCAATGTGGTTGCATGGTAAGGGCCAAAGAATGGACACTAGAAAGAGCTGGAGAGTGGAAAGAGGAAATCAACTCCAATTCCCCATTTTCCCAGGTGCCCTCCACCCACCTCCTTTCTCACCCCACTCCTCTCCCCATGGGCTGCACCACACACTCACCTACAATTTCTGCGCCTATGAACAGACTGAGAAGAACTCTCACCAACCAGAACCAGCGCTGCAGAAACAGGCACCTGGGTCAGGTCTGGGCACTGCCCAACCAGAGTCCCCAACACCTTCCTTGACCCCACTCCACCTTGATCTTTAGTTACATTCCTGACCTTTGAGGTGGTTGTCAGGCATGCCTCTCTTGCAGTCCTTCTGGGCTACTGGCATTTCTGATGTTTTCTGGCCATGTGCTTCCGTCTCCCCAGCCCTATTTCCCTGTCCACCCTACAGCCTGAGGTGCCTCTGCCTGGCACTCTCCAGCCACCTTCACTCCCCCAGCTCTCTGGCGCCTGGTCCTGGTCCCGCCTCCTGGTCCAGTCGCTGCTTGGTGAGGCTCAGTGAGTCCAGAAGTGCTAGGCAGGCAGGGATCACCTCCCTCAGAAGAGGGAGGCCCCAGGGCCTGGTCTCCAAGTAGAGGAGGTGGGAATGCAGATACTTCTAGGTGCACCAGTTCCCAGGGAAACCAACACAGATCAAGAGGTGGAAAGGCTGGATCCTCCCAGACTTGAAAAATGCACAGTCTAGATTCTGGGGGAGGGGGAAAGTCTAAGGAAATGCACCCAGTCTGCTACAACTTCAAATCCTGTGTGAGATTCTCTGAGTCCTTAGGATGGGACACCCATACACATGCGTCTCAAAGGGGAAACACAGCAGTCTCAGCTGCTGACGTTGGTCCTCTTGGCCTGAAGGTCATCACCCAGGGGATAGGATGAGAGTGCAGCTGCAGTCCAGGGAGAGGTGGGAGGCCCTGGCAACACGTGAAACTTAGAATCGGTCCTAGGATTACTGGACTGGGCGTCCACTCTCTGCAGCAGCCTTCCAAATGACCCAGCTAGGGTCCCTGTCCAGGAAGTCTTGGACGGGGAGCTCTCTCTGTCCTTGGGAAGGGGGGCTTGCTGCACCATACTCCCGAATTTGCTCTACCTGAGCCTCAGTTCGACTATTCAATTCATGGAGGCCCTTGAGCAGTCTTACCTGTCCTGGGTCGCCTGAGAGAGAAACTGCCCATGTGACCGCTCATCCCCCAACCGAGCTACTAGGACCTCCTTACCGAGTGGCCTCGGATCCCAGGCAAGATGAGCAGAAAACTGGCGGCCAAGGCCAAGAACACCAGAATGACGATAAGCAGCGGGACGCAGAAGCCGGCGGCATGCCGGGGCTGCGGGTAAAAAGGCAGCACGCCGTTCCACAGGGTCATGCCGCAAGCCCGCCGCGCGCGGCGCGTAGGTGGGCGAGCAGGTAAACCGGGGCAGCCTGGCGGCGGGAGAGCACGTCTTTGGCGTCTTTTCGGGTCGAGAGACGGAGTGGGCTGGTCAAGTCTGAGTCCCGCGGCTCCCCGCTAAGGAAGCGTGGCGGGTTGGGCCGGACAGAGTTGGCTTTGGCAGCCAGCAAGCGGAATTATTTCTCACTGGCTGTGGCCAGTTACTTTCTCAGCCCTGCGGGTTCGTGCTGCGTTTGGAAGTTGCGCGGGACGCGGCCCCCTTTTTATAGGAGTGTAGGGAGCTCGCCGCGCGGGAGTCCCGGCCCTGCAGCGGGATAGGAGCGGCGAGACATCATGCAAATGAGGGGCGGAGGATGTTATGCAAATGAGAGCCCAGCCTCCAAGCAGGAGGGTGAGCACCGGGTCCAGATGCTCACACCCGGCGCGAGTCTGAGCCGAACGGACACCCGCGCAGCGGCGAGACTGAGAACCCAGAGAAGAGGGTGAGAGTGCAGCAGGGGAGACTGAGGATCGGTGGAGCTGGGGGGTGAGGAGGAGGCAGGAAGCAGTGCAGAGAAGCAAAGATTTTAAGAGGAAAGAATACGTCTGAGCCCGACGGGAGCCCTAAACTAGAGGGTTGGACCGGAGTTTGGGGCCTGACCTTCCAAGTCCTCGTCAATCATGCACAGGCGTTCATTACCGGGGACGAGGAGGGGCTGCAGGGGAGGCCTTCGGGCCCCAGGCTCCCGGCTCAGTAGCCTCTTTCCCTTCCCTACCTCCTCTAGGAGAAGCAGTACCTGAGGGATTTGGGAGGAGGGTGAGGGATTTGAGCGTTCGGCATCTCTGGGAGACTGGACCGGTCCTGCTAGGGACTGGCATGTCCCAGAGGATTCGTGCTCAGTGGGTTCCTGTGGTCGGGGTTAGCCCTCCGATGGGAAGGAGGATGGGGAACAGTGTCAATGCCACCAGAGCTGCCAATAGTCGGGGAAAGAACGGCGTGCGATTCGGGTCTTTGGTGATGCTTCTAACAGCTCCGCTCCAGAAGCGGAAATAGTTGGCGCTCTTCCTCCAGTGCCGGCTGTAAGGATGTGTATGGGGAGCGGGACTTAGGTTCTGTGCCCCTCACGTGCCACCTACCGCCGCCCAGGCTGCAGGGTCGGCATGCTCTGCGCAAGACCAGAGGCACTGGTGCTCCTGGGAGCTCTGCTGACTGGATCCCTGGATCCGGCGGGTAAGTATCCGGCTCCCCCAGCCGCGGGGTGTCACCCGATATCCGGGGGAGTGGGGGAAAGAGAAATGTAGGCAATCGGCTCCCAGAGGCTGGAAAATTCGATCAGATCACCGCGCAGTTCAGCGGGATGGGAAACTTCCCTGCGCCGCCTCTACTTGGCGCAGGTATCACCCTTTGGGTCCGATGGGGGCGCTCGGCGAGTTGGGGAGCGGCCGGCCGGCCGTGGCCGTCCCGTGCAGGAGAGGTCGCCGGGAGGCTAGAACTGATTAGGGCGGCTGTCTGTGCCCACAGGCGCTCAGGACGCACTCTCGCTGCCCTGGGAAGTGCAGCGCTATGACGGCTGGTTCAACAACCTGAGGCACCACGAGCGTGGCGCTGCAGGTGCGTCCTGGGGCCCGGGCGGGAGCAGACGGCGGCTCGCGAAGGGAGCTGGAGCGGAGAACCGACGCCAGCAGGCCGGCTGCCTCCGAGGCGCAATCTTACACACTTTTCTGGGACCAAGAGATCCTTGGGAGAAAGGGTTCTGTTGGTGGTCGGGGGACAGGTGGGAGGTTTGAGGGAGGAGCCGGGCGAGGTTTGGGGATTTCTTGGGGATGGAGTGTTCCATCAGAGCCCGGCTTCCTGCCTCCCCCAGGCTGCCGGCTGCAGCGCCTCGTACCAGCCAACTACGCGGACGGAGTGTACGAGGCTCTGGAGGAGCCGCTGCTCCCCAACCCGCGCCGTCTCAGCAACGCGGCCACGCAGGGTGTCGCCGGGCTGGCGTCACTCCGCAACCGCACTGTGCTGGGGGTCTTCTTCGGTGAGCGCAAAAGGGGAGACCAGTGGGGTTGACCTGGCGCTGGGCTCAGCGCCTGGAGAGAGGGTCCCTAAGGTCACCCTGCAAGTCCGCAGGAGACTTCCCAGACTCCCGACCACTTCCTCCCCTCTAAGCAGCTCTTCAAGCTTGCTTTCATCTCGGAGGGATTTGGGGAGTCTGTACAGGGATTTTTGCTCCCCTAATCTTTCTCGTACACCTCCCACACCTCACTCCAAACCCAGGAGTAGCATTGGGTTTCTATTGTCGCTCTCGGGCACCCAGTGCCTCCAGCCACTGCTCTCACCATATGATCATAACCACCCTCCCCTGCAGAGGGGGGAACACTGGCTTGGGGAGCCCTTACTTTAATTATATTATTTTTATTCTCACACCAACATTTTGAATTAGATGGGAAGGGTACTATTTTCTCCCTTTGCAGATTAGAAAATTGAGGTTTTCTGAGTCTAAGCCGCAGACCTGGTGGCGGAGCTTGCAATGGAATCGATCTTTTGGCTCCCGAGAACACTGCAGGCCACGCTGACTGTGAGGGGGGCGATGCGGACAGTTTGCTCACCTGTTTTGCGCCCCATGCCCGCAGGCTACCACGTGCTCTCGGACCTGGTGAGCGTGGAGACGCCCGGCTGCCCGGCCGAGTTCCTCAACATCCACATCCCGCCCGGAGACCCCGTGTTCGACCCCGACCAGCGCGGGGACGTGGTGCTGCCCTTCCAGAGGAGCCGCTGGCACCCCCAGACCGGACGCAGCCCCAGCAACCCGCGGGACCCGGTGAGGCTGGCAGGCGCCGGCAAGGGGGCGGGACCGAGGCAGGTGCGGCCCTGGGCTCCCCGCCTGGCAGCGCCCGCTCCCGCCCGCGGACACCCGCCTGGCCCGGCCTTCGCTTCCCTGCTCCGCTCCCCCTGACCCCCGCCTCACCCGCCGGTGCCCCCGCAGACCAACGGGGTGACGGGCTGGCTGGACGGCAGCTCCATCTATGGCTCCTCACACTCCTGGAGCGACTCGCTGCGGAGCTTCTCCGGGGGACAGCTGGCGTCGGGGCCAGACCCGGCCTTCCCTCGACTCTCGCAGAGCCCCCTGCTCATGTGGGCCGCGCCCGACCCCGCCACCGGGCGGCGCGGGCACCAGGGCCTGTACGGTGAGGCCGCGGGGACACCACGGGGACGCGGGGGTGCTGGCTCGGGCTCTGCGACATCGGGCTCCCCTTGGTCACGCCTCTCATCTCCTACCCTGTGTCCCCACGCCGGTGCAGCCTTCGGGGCCGAGAGAGGGAACCGCGAGCCCTTCCTGCAGGCGCTGGGCCTGCTCTGGTTCCGCTACCACAACCTGTGCGCTCAGAGGCTGGCCCGCCAGCACCCCGACTGGGGGGACGAGGAGCTGTTCCAGCACGCGCGCAAGAGGGTCGTCGCCACCTACCAGGTCAGCCGGCCCCCGCGCCCGTGACCCACACACACCTGCAGGTCCACAGGAGACTCGGCTCCCCCGCAGAGCTCCCCCTCCTCGGACAACCTCCGCCCAGAAACCCCTCCCCAGAGAGCGGAGGTCTAGGAAAAGCCCCTGTAAAGGGTAAGGAGGCGAGCGCTCTTCCCAGGGGAGATTTTGCTTGGCATTGTTATCTACCTTCCCTGGCCCCCTCCAAATCCCCTGGTTCCAAGGGGGGACAGGCCTCGCTGCTCTTGTTTAAGGTGCTTCTCCAGTGACACCCTCCCCACCCCCCCACTCCCTTCTGGTCCTCATCTCTGCGCCTGAGTCCTCCTTGGGCTCAGATCCATGGAGGCCCCGCCGGCTCCAACGTGCGCCTCGCGTCCCCCTCTCTGACCCTCAGAACATCGCTCTGTATGAGTGGCTGCCCAGCTTCCTGCCGAAAACGAAAACGCCCCCGGCGTACGCAGGTGCGGGGATGGGCAGGGAGGACGTGAGGGCTTGCGGGAGGGTTTTTTTGGGGTGTGTGTGTGCGGTGGGGAGTAGGTTGGGTGGTTTAAAGGCTGAATTCTTCTGTCCTGTGTTCTCTGCTTCCCCCAGGATACCGGCCGTTTCTGGACCCCAGCATCTCCCCGGAGTTCGTGGTGGCCTCTGAGCAGTTCCTCTCCACCATGGTGCCCCCTGGCGTCTACATGAGGTGCGCGAGGGGCACAGCACACTGGCAGAAGTGCAGAATGAGCCCCAGTGGGGTCTGGGGCCTTTTACACTGGGGAAGGGAAGCAGAATTTGCTTGTAACTGTGACCCTGGGCTAAGAGGTTTGGTCTTAGTAGGGAAATCTCTCCCTCTTTCCTAATAGCTGAACTTTGGTGGCTGAGTGTAGGCCTTGTCCAGCAGTTGGGTCATCCTTCTCCTCCTCCCCTCCCCACCCTATGTAGACTAAGAGCTCACTCTACCTTCAATAAACACACCTTGCTAAATCTGTGCTATGTCCAAGAAGTTCATGGGCCACCCTTAATCCTAGTCATCCTCCACGGCGTCCTTTACTCTACTCAACCTTGTCTTAGCTGCTTCCCAGAATTCCCTCACCACATCCTTGATTCTTCATTTCAGAAATGCCAGCTGTCATTTCCGGAAGGTCCTGAACAGGAGTTTTGGCAGCTCCCCAGCTCTCAGGGTCTGCAACAGCTACTGGATTCGAGAGGTCAGACTGGGGTCAACCTCAGGGGATGATAGGCAAGGTCAGTGTCTTCACACAGGCTGGGAAAAGCAAGCATTCTGGTTTTGGGGTTTTGCTGCTCCAGGTTGGTAGGAGATGAAGCATTGAGAAAATTATCTGGGGACAACAGCTCAACAGAGTTTGGCCCTGGCCAAGGGCCCTTTGTCCTGAGCTGCTGCAGTGGTCCAGGCTGAGAGGGACTGAGCTCTGGGTGGGGGCCCTTGAACCTATATTGAGTGTATTGTTTACTTCTAGAACCCCAATCTGAACAGCACCCAAGAGGTGAATCAGCTGCTGCTGGGAATGGCCTCCCAGATTTCGGAGCTGGAAGACAGGATAGTGGTTGAAGATCTGAGAGGTGAGTTCAGAGCCAGAAGTCCTGGGGGCCAGAGGCCAGGGAACCCAGGGATCCTTCTAGGTTAAGAAATAGGCAAACCTAGGGTACTCAAGATGCAGGAACACAGAGGCACACACAGACTTAAAGCAGCCATTAGAAAGAAATGATTTTTTTTTTTTTGCTTAATTTACAGTTTTGTGTTACTTTTATTTTAAATTAACTATGTCTGAATATGGTGTGTGTTTGTGTGTGTGTGTGGGGGTGACACCACAATCTCTCTAGTGCTTCGTTAGGTGTCTAAACGTTTTCATCCAGCCCTGTCTTGAAGTTAGGGAGGGATAGGACAGAGAATGTACTGCTTGTTGACTCGAACAATCTTGAGTCTTAGAGGAAGTATCTTATCAAAAAAATGGCCCCTGATGACACAGGGTGACATTGGCTCCACAGCAAGACAAGGTCAATATGGGTGCAGGTCTCATGTAGAGGAGTGCTGGGGGCCAGAGGAGGGAAGGGCTACAGTGCCAACAGCTGGATGCAAGGATGCAGGGCAAACAAGGGTTGGGAGAACTGAGCCTGGTCTTCTCTCCTCCTCAGATTACTGGCCTGGTCCTGGCAAGTTCTCCCGCACAGACTACGTAGCCAGCAGCATCCAACGTGGCCGAGATATGGGGCTACCCAGCTACATCCAGGCCCTGCGGGCATTGGGGCTAGAGACCCCAAAGAACTGGAGTGACCTCAACCCTAATGTGGACCCCCAGGTCAGGAATAGTAATGGTAATAATAGCGGCTAAAGCTTTTCTTTGGTAATACTGCTCCAAATCCTTTGCATATGTTGACTTAATCTACATGTTATAAGATAGATACTGTCATTGTCCCCATTTTACTGATGACACAGTTGGTAAATTGTAGAGGCAGGATTTAAATTCAGCCATCTGACTCCAGAGTATGTTCCTAACCACTACATTGTACCATTCCTACAGGGTGGCCCCTGGGTTGGGTGCCATTGTCCTGTTCTTGCGGGGTCCCACCCCATGGGTTGGGTAACCCTGAAGCTGCTAGTCATTGAGACCAGGCAGTCTGGGTAGCGATGGTCATAGGATATAGTCTTCAGGTACCTCATAGTGGTCTCACCATAGGTAGGGACACGCTGGTCCTTCCACCAGACTTGTCACTCCCTGAGGGGGGCTGCCTAGGAAAAAGAGACCAGGCTTGAGCAACAGCTGCTGGATCCTGTGACTAACGGATGGGGCAGCAGTGGCTGCCTTCACCAATGCCAACACACACAGTCACTCCTTACTTCCTGTGGTCCCCAGGTGCTGGAGGCCACAGCCGCCTTGTATAACCAGGACCTGTCCCGGCTAGAGCTGCTCCTGGGGGGCCTCCTGGAGAGCCATGGGGACCCTGGACCTCTGTTCAGCACCATTGTCCTTGATCAGTTTGTGCGGCTGCGGGATGGTGATCGTTACTGGTTTGAGAACACCAAGAATGGGTGAGGCCTGCCTGGGCCCCTGCCCCTGCCTCAGACTCCACTGCAGCCTGGGCCCAGACCCTCAGCCTGGCCTCAGACAGACCCCAGGGGCCCTTGATTCTCATCTCATCCTCACTGCTCCTCCCAACCCCTCTGGGTCTCTTTTCTCATCTGGGTCCTTGTGCTTTCGTCCCCGGGGATGGGCCACCACGCCAGAGAAAAGCAGACTCACTGAAGGGGATCGGAGGGGGCTGGTGGGCAGGGAGCCCCTCACCTGCAGCTTCACTGAGGCCTGGGCTGCCGCCCCTTCCCTGCTCAAGGCTCCCTGCACCTAGCCTCAAACTGCACCGGGGAGCTAACCCTGCAGGCCAGCAGGTTTGCTGGAGGCCGAGGATTGCTGGAGGACTGCATCCCCTTCCCATCCCAACATCTCCTACCTTTCCCCATCTTAGGCTGTTCTCCACGGAGGAGATTGCGGAAATCAGAAATACCACCCTGCGGGACGTGCTGGTAGCTGTCACCAACGTCAACCCCAGTGCCCTGCAGCCCAATGTCTTTGTCTGGCATGAGGGTGAGCGGCCTGGTAGAACATAAGTAACAGTGGCCAGAGAAAGACCGAGGCTGAGGGTTGGGAGGGAATCCCTCGGTGCTGTCCAGGGAGCCAGGCACCTTCTGCGCCGGGCAGGGAGGCCCTCGTTAGGCCGGCTCCCTCGGTAGGGACTGAACTGGCACACAGGCTGCACGCTCTGGTCAAGCAGGGGCGGTGGGGAGGGGATGCTAAGGGATGGGATATGGAAGGGGACTTTTTGAGGGGAATAAGCTCCAGGGAAGTGGGCCTGGGAGGATACCTTGGTCCTTTATAGGACAGAGGGGAAGGAGGCCTGGCCAAGGAGTGGGATCTTCAGACTCTGAGGTCTTCTGTGTGCTCCCCCGCAGGCGCGCCCTGCCCCCAGCCCCGGCAGCTCACAGCTGAAGGCTTGCCCTCCTGTGTGCCCCTTACGGTGCTCAACTTCTTCGAGGGCAGTGGTCCTGGCTTTGGCATCACCATCGTGGCCCTCTGCTGCCTTCCGTTAGGTGAGCTCTCCCCCCCACCCCACAGCCTGGCCCTGCCCCGTTACCTGCTGGCCTGCAGGGTTAGCTCCCCGGTGCAGTTTGAGGCTAGGTGCAGGGAGCCTTGTGCAGGGAAGGGGCGGCAGCCCAGGCCTCAGTGAAGCTGCAGGTGAGGGGCTCCCTGCCCACCAGCCCCCTCCAATCCCCTTCAGTGAGTCTGCTTTTCTCTGGCGTGGTGGCCCATCTCCGGGGACGAGAGCGCAAGAAACTACAAAAGAAAGGCAAAGAGAGTATGAAGAAGGAAGCAGCCAAAGACGGAGTGCCAGGTGAGATGGGGCTGGTGGGAGGAGGGGGCGATGGTGACCCTGGGAGAAAGCCAGGCTTCAGGGTACCTGCCCAGACTGAAGGTGAGGGCCTGGGGACTTCTGCTGAACCACTGTGCCCAATCTTCCCTTCCCCAGCGATGGAGTGGCCAGGCCCCAAGGAGAGGAACTACCCCGTCACCATCCAGCTGCTCCCAGACAGGCTGCAGGTCCTGGACAGGCGTCTCACTGTGCTCCGCACGGTCCAGCTGCGGCCCTCGCAGCAGGTCAATCTCATCCTGTCCAGCAACCGAGGCTGCCGCACGCTGCTGCTCAAGATCCCCAAGGAGTATGACCTGGTGCGGCTCACCCTGCCCCCTGCCTGGGCTGCCCCCTTGCACCTGCCCTCTCACAAGTGAGCGCTTTCAGGCCACCCTGCCCTCAGCTGCGCAGCTTACTTGTGAAGGCTGCTGTTGGGACGAGGGACTCCTTTCAGAGCCCCCCCTCGCCCCGCACTCACCCTGAACCCCTCAGGCCTCCACTGGCCCCAGCCAGGATGGACAGAGGTGGGGGGAAGCTCTTTTCTCCTTCCCTCGCCTCAAGGCCCCCTGAGGGGAGGCTGAGCAGGAGCTCCAGTGAGCTCTGAGGGCGGCCTTCCTCCCACGCAGGTGCTGCTGTTCAACTCTGAAGAGGAGCGAGGCAGCTTTGTGCAGCAACTGAAGGGCTGGGCTCCGGGCCTCCATGTGGCGCAGATGGGCGAGAAGGAGCTGTTCAGGCGGGCTGTGACCAAGCAGCAGCGGGCACGCATCCTGGAGATCTTCTTCAGACACCTTTTTGCTCAGGTGCCATAACCTGCCATAACCTGTGCCTTTTGGAGATGGGCCCGGCCCAGGAGATAGAGGAAACCTGGGCCCCGAGAGAACCCGCTGTGGGTGAACTTAAGCTTCCACTCTCTGACATGGAGACACACAGCCTTGTTTGAATCCTGGCTTTGCCACTTACTTAGCTGTGTGACCTTAGGCAAGTCACATCATCTCTGCTTTGTATCTCCGTTTCCTAATCTATAAAACAGTGATTAAAATTGTATCCATCTATTGCATTGTCCTGGGTGTGCAGTGAGACAGTCTACATGAGTGGTTCTCAAAGGTTGGCCCCAGGACCCAGAGCATTGGCCTCACCTGGGAACTTGTTAGAAATCGAAATTCTTTTTTTTTTTTTTTTTTTTTTTGAGACAGAGTCTCGCTCTGTTGCCCAGGCTAGACTGCCGTGGTGTCAGCCTAGCTCACTGCAACTCAAACTCCTGGGCTCAAGCGATCCTCCTGCCTCAGCCTCCTGAGCAGCTGGGACTATAGGCATGCACCACGACACCTGGCTAATTTTTCTATTTTTAGTAGAGATGGGGTCTTGCTCTTGCTCAGGCTGGTCTCAAACTCCTGACCTCAAGCTATCCCCCCACCTCAGCCTCCCAGAGTGCTAGGATTACAGGTGTGAGCCACCATGCCCGGCTTAGAAATACAAATTCTAGGCCCCTCCCTAGACAGACTCTGGGGGTGGGGCCCAGCTGCCTGTGTATTAACAAGCCCTGATTCTGATGCACTCTAATGTTTGAAAAACACCATTTTATGTACAGTGCTTAGCACAAGTGCTCAGTACATCATAGGCATTTAACAAATGGTAATTCCATGTGACTTTTGAACTCTTCGCACAACAGAACCCAAATGATAGGCACATGGCAGTCCTATCTGAATTGGCATGAGAACATAGCCCTAGCCCCTTCCTGCTTGTCCACTGTGTCTACTACATCTTTTTACACTGTCCCCAGTGTAAGTTTTCTCACTTTGCATTTCCCAACTTTGCCCCTCTCGTCACTCTCCCCTTCCCCGACCCAACACCATTCCTACTGCATAAAGTTCTTGGTTCTTTGGGTCCAGGGAGAAATGGGCCAGCTGCTAGAGATTCCATTCACCCCCTCTAGGAGAGCACAGGCCCCGGTCAGTATATCTGAGGATCAGGAGCAGCCACCAGCCCTCAACCTTTCTGATTTGGATTTTGGGGGAGTATGAAGGGTCACTGAACTGCTTCCATCCCAGGCCTCACCTCCTTTTCTCCCTCTGCTGCTGCCCAAGTGCAGGTGCTGGACATCAACCAGGCGGACGCAGGGACCCTGCCCCTGGACTCGTCCCAGAAGGTGCGAGAGGCCCTGACGTGCGAGCTGAGCAGGGCTGAGTTTGCCGAGTCCCTGGGCCTCAAGCCCCAAGACATGTTTGTGGAGTCCATGTTCTCTCTGGCCGACAAGGATGGCAATGGCTACCTGTCCTTCCGGGAGTTCCTGGACATCCTGGTGGTCTTCATGAAAGGTAGGGGGCTTTCAGAAGGTGGTGGGCCATCGAGCAGCCAGGGGTCTTTCAACAGGAAGATGACTTAGTTCCCCTTCCTATTCCCAGGCTCCCCAGAGGATAAGTCCCGCCTGATGTTTACCATGTATGACCTGGACGAGAATGGCTTCCTCTCCAAGGAGGAATTCTTCACCATGATGCGGTATGGGGTGGGCCCTTCCAATCCTCATATGTCCTGATGTTTTAAGCAAGAAAACAAGTCAGGTCATAGGAGGCTTGGTGAGGAGGCTTTGTGGCCATCTGTGTTGAGTGAAGGCCTAGATACTGCATCCTAGACCCTTAGAGCATCCGGCTTCAAAAGTTTACCTGCCCAGGCCCCTGCCTCAAGGGAGGTCTATAATCTGTACTGTCAGCACCAGCCAGAAAAGTCTCCCAAGTTAAAAACAAAAATGAAAATATCAAACAAATAAACAAAGACACCCCAACACCAATATGACCAACAGAAAAGTCCACTAACCCTTTTTGGATACCTTTGGACCTTTGTAAACTCTCTCACAGCACAACTAGCCCGACACCGTGCTTCCACAAAGAAACAATGGATGGATGACCTTGGTTGCTCTTCCAATATCAATCACCATGACAGGCAGGAGGAGAAACTTGGAAAGTTTCTCTATGTTCCAACCCTTCTATCATCTTGCTTTTTAAGCCCTTACTGGTTTTGGGGTGCCAATAAAGACCAGCTTTGAGCATCCTAAACTTCTCATTTCTGAAGACAGTGCTAACACAGCCCCCTTTCATGCCATAAGGCAGGACTCACGTCTCTCTTTGTTCCCTGTTGAATCCACCTCCTCCTCAATGTGACTGGCACACACTGGGCATTCGATATGTAGCTAACTGAATAAGACAAAATTAAATAAATGAGCAAATGAATACACAGAGTGAGTAAAACAGCCCAGATTCTTTTAACTTATCTGTCCCTGTAAGCCGTTCCATTGCAGTAAGTGTGTCACTTAATTGCCACATCCCTCTTACAGTCCAGATACCCCAGCTGGATGTGGGCTTCTAAATGGGCAAAGCTGATTGTAGTCTGTACCAGACTAGGGGTGTCATTGTAGGCCTAGCCCTGGGGGTGGGGGGTGGGGGGAAATGTAAGAGATCTAGGAGACGGTCCATGCTATCAACAGATGAGCTCCCTCTTTCCCATCCTATAACTCTGTGGATCTTCCTTAGTCTTGGTGGGGTGATGTTTTTACTTATTTTATTTATTTTTATTTGTTTTTGAGACAGAGTCTCACTCTGTTGCCCGGGCTAGAGTGAATGCTGTGATGTCAGCCTAGCTCACAGCAACCTCAAACTCCTGGGCTCAAGCAATCCTTCTGCCTCAGCCTCCCGAGTAGCTAGGACTACAGGCAAGCGCCACCATGCCCGGCTAATTTTTTCTATATATTTTTAGTTGGCCAATTTGTTTCCTTCTATTTTTAGTAGAGATGGGGTCTCGCTCTTGCTCAGGCTGGTTTTGAACTCCTGACTTTGAGCGATCCGCCCACCTCAGCTTCCCAGAGTGCTAGGATTATAGGCGTGAGCCACCGCGCCCAGCCGGGATGATGTTTTTAACGTGACGGCTGTGCTTGCTGTGCTATCCGGGCCCAGGTTTTTTTTCTGCTGGCCTCACACAGATTTGCATGGTCTGTTTGTTTTTGTCCCAAAGCACAGCCTAAGAAAAGAGTTTGGCCACCATAGCTGCCACTGTGGGTGCCATCAGATTGGGCGTGGAGACACTGCTGCCCGTGCCCCAGGGTGTTGGCACAAGGAAGCAACAGCAGTGCAGCTACACCCCTTCCCCACCGCCCTGCTGTCTGGTGCCCCCGCCAGACTGTGAAAACAGGACCCGAGGGGTGGTCTGGCAGGCATCGACAAAAGAGAGGCAGAAAGCCTGCCACAAGAGAGAGCCCTGCCATACCAAGGACATATCCCTGCACTAAGTGGACATTCGTCCCACTTGTAGATGCCCTCCTGTTTGAAGGCTGCTTTCTTTCATTTTTCAAGGTCACTTTCAGTTCTATTCTGCCTTTTGAGCCCATGGCTACCCCACCCAGCTTAGTGTCAGCTGCAGGCTGGATGAACACCTTCTCAGTGACATTTCCCAGGTCACCAGTAACCACATTAGATAATCGCGGGCCTGCCCCACCCTGCATCTGCCCGAGCCTGACCTCAGTGGGTGACAGGCTGCTCTGCCTCTGGTCCTCTCTCAGGTCCTTCATTGAGATCTCCAACAACTGCCTGTCCAAGGCCCAGCTGGCCGAGGTGGTGGAGTCCATGTTCCGGGAGTCGGGCTTCCAGGACAAGGAGGAGCTGACGTGGGAGGACTTCCACTTCATGCTGCGGGACCACGACAGCGAGCTCCGAAGCACACAGCTGTGCGTCAAAGGTGGCCGTGGAGGTGCGTGAGTGTGTGAGGATGGTTGGAGTCAGGGAGGGCTGTGTTTTCAAAATGAGAGCTCCTGGTGGACAAGACCCAGGTCTTATTCTTCTGAGTCCTTGGTGCTGAGTAGAGAGCCAGGCATGAGTAATCGGGGCAGCAGGTACAGGTGTGCAAGTTGTGTACTGCACAAAGATGACCACTGAGGTTAAGGAGCAGGCTGAAATTCAGCCTACCCACTGCTCAGAGCCATGGGCATTGGTCTGGGATGTATCTGGCCTGAGGAAGAGGCACTATGTTCTTTACACAAAGGACCTGCAGGGTTGACCTTACCTGGAGGGCTCCCTTTTTCTAACTGCACAAAGTTGCTACGCTGTCTGCCCTGTATACAGTGGGTGCTTAGCGTGGGGAGGGTGGGGAATAAGGCTGGAACCAAAAATCTGGACACAACCAAGTCACTGCCAAGTAAGTGCCCTGCAGCCTTCTCACAGATGGGGGAGGGGCAGCCTCCCACCCCACCCCACTGCCCGGGTGGGAACGCCAGTCTAGCTGCTTGTTCTCCTCTCTAGGTTCTGGAGACATCTTTAAACAAAACATCAGCTGTCGAGTCTCATTCATCACTCGGACTCCTGGGGGACGGTGAGCAGGCAGGAGCGGGGCATTGTGAGGTCTCCTTGGCCAGGTCCCCTGCAGAGAAATGAAGGAAGATGTTTGCCCTCTGAAATGAACTCTTAGCCCACATTCCATCCTAGCCCAAATTTCACCCCGTGCTGCTCCAGAGCCTGGCTCTCTCTCCCTGCCACTCCAGGCCGGAATCTTTCTACAAAACAGAAGACCAGATCATATTCATTCATTCTGCCTTGCTCCCTGTCTGGTCGCAGAAGCACCCCCCGCCCTCACCCCAAGCTCTGACCTGGCAGTTCTCCTGGCTGCAAAGATAAGGGGGAGAACAGGCCCTATTTTCTTTTCCTCAGCTCCTGTCCCGAGGGACTGGGGCTCCCGGCCTCAGAAGCCCCTGTGCTGAAGAAGAGGTTTGGCAAAAAGTGAGTGTTTTCCTGATCCCACCCCTGGGCCCAAGGAGACATAGAGAGAAGCCTCGGGTCTCTAGGCCCTGCCCATCCCTCCTTGACTTATAAGGAAATATGTTATAAAGAACCATCGTTCTATTTGTTCCTAAGCTGACTGGGGAACTATAATGTCGAATGATTTTCATCCTCTCCCAACTTCTGCACCCCATTCTCCAAGCAAGGGACCTGGCTCAGAAGCAACACCAGGGTGGTAGTAAGGGGTCCCCTGGCTCTTGCTGCGTTGGCCACAGCAGTGAGGCCTGTACAGGGAGCAAGAAGAGGGAAGGACAGAACAACTAGGAGGAGGTGGAGTAGTGGGAGAGAGAGCAGGGGGTGGGCAGAGCAAGTAGAGACAGAGGTAAAGGCAGGGATGCGAGGCCTCCCAAAATGCTTTTATTCCTTGGTCAGTTATGGCCCATCCTGGCCCCCTCACTCCCAGATCACCAGGTCGGCTTTCACGGGCTGGCATTTAGGGAAGCCCTTCCCTTGCTGCAGGACGGTGGGGCCCCCTTCCCGGCTGTACACGGAGGCGCTGCAGGAGAAGATGCACAGAGGCCTCCTGGCCCGGAAGCTGCAGCAGTTCAAGCGCTTCGTGGAGAACTACCGGAGGCACATCATGTGCGTGGCCGTGTTCTCAGCCATCTGCGTCGGCCTGTTTGCAGACCGTGCTTACTGTAAGAGTTCCAGGTCATGGGCAGCGGGCAGGGAGCAGGCCCCGACCCTCGGGGAGGAGCGGAGAGCCCTCCGATTGCTCTTCCCCGGTCCTCGGCACGTGATGTGGGCTCAGCACCCCGGCCTGTCACGCCGAGCTGATCGACCCCCACTCCGGCCCCAGACTATGCCTTTGCCTCGCCACCCACGGACATTGCAGAGACCACCTATGTGGGCATCATCCTGTCGCGGGGCACGGCCGCCAGCGTCTCCTTCATGTTCTCCTACATCTTGCTCACCATGTGCCGCAACCTCATCACCTTCCTGCGGGAGACCTTCCTCAACCGCTACATACCCTTCGACGCCGCCGTGGACTTCCACCGCTGGATCGCCATGGCTGCTGTTGTCCTGGCCAGTACGTGGCCAGGGCATCCTCCCCTTTGCTGCAGCCCCCTGGGTGTAGCTCCTTGGGCTCTTACCCTTCCTCACACTTCCATCTCGCCTCCCCACGCCTCCTCTTTCCCTTGGGCTGGAGGTAGAGTGGGCTCTGGTTGGCGTCTCCAACAAGGTCTGTCTCTTTCAGTTTTGCACAGCGCTGGGCACGCAGTCAATGTCTACATCTTCTCCATCAGCCCCCTCAGCCTGCTGGCCTGCGTATTCCCCAACGTCTTCGTGAACGATGGGTCAGTTCTGGGGAAGGTCTCTCCCGGGACTAACAGTGGGCCAAAGGGTCTGGTAGAAAAGAAACAGATGGCCGCAGACGCTCCGCTCCTCACTGAGTGAACGTGCACAGCTAGTGCCCTTGGGAAGCTGAAAGGTGACCTCCTTGCCCTTAGGAAGGAAGCTGGCTCTGATTTGCCAGAAAAAGTGTTTGGGAGCTGAAGTCAGAGACTCCGTTACACAACTTGCCGTCTCTGCCTTCCATCCGTTCACTGGGCACTTATGGAGCATGTCCCATGTGTCCATCCAGATGCCAGAGAGTGGAGATGTCAAGATACATGCAGTCATTCAACAACTGCTTATCGAGCATTTGCTATGTGCCTGATATTTTTCTAATCCTAGGGGTAGAACAATGAACAAAACAAAAACCCCTGCCGTCATGGAGCTTCCAGGATAATGAGCTGATCACTCGGGGAAGCAAGGGCCAACTGTAGAGAGAGAGTTCAGGATAACACAGGAGGAAAAGTTGCTGACAGTGCAGAGGGTGGAACCGTGGGAGGCTGAGTGCTGTGTCCCTGGGAAGGGTTTCTGGTCACCTGAGTGAAGGCCCGGTAACCTCAGCAGGCAGGGCCAGCAGGAATGGTGTCATATTGTGGAAGACCGAGGCGGAGCCCCTCCTGCCCCAGCCAGAAGCTCAATGTGTCTTTGCCCTACAGGTCCAAGCTTCCCTGGAAGTTCTACGTGTGGTTCTTCCAGACCGTCCCAGGTAGGGAGTGGGGCCGTGGGCGGGATCTGGGGGTTCTGTCTGAGGACTTCTGCTTTTACCTCCATCTCCCCATGAGTACACGGTTGTCTATAGTGGCCATGGGGCTCCTTTCTAGCCTGCAGGACAAGTCATAGCTCTAGCCCCTCCAGGAAAGCTGTTCTGGGGGCCCCAGAGGGATGAGAGAGGAAGGTGGGCAGAATAGGGGGATGCTCTGTCATGTTTTCAGCCTGGGCTGAAGTCCTGAGAGACTACTCGCTGCCCCTGTCCTCCTGCCCCCAGGTATGACAGGGGTGCTGCTGCTCCTGGTCCTGGCCATCATGTACGTCTTCGCCTCCCACCACTTCCGCCGCCGCAGCTTCCGGGGCTTCTGGCTGACCCACCATCTCTACATCGTGCTCTACATCCTGGTGAGGGACTTCTCTGGGCCGGGCCAGCCTGTGGAGCAGGGCACTCAGGATGGGGGGCAGGGGTGGGGGCAGTGAAGGAGGGAGCAGGGAGAATTGGACCCAAGATCTCAGACTGAGACCCTGAGATCTGATGCCCAGACCCTGGAGCCTATACCAGCCAAATCCATCCTGCCCAGGCCTAATGCCTCGGGAAGAGGGTACAGGGGGTGTAGGGGGTGCAGGGGGAGGCCTGGCTGGGTCTGACAGTACCACTGACCATGTCTCTAGCTCATCATCCACGGCAGCTACGCCCTGATCCAGCTGCCGAGTTTCCACATCTACTTCCTGGTCCCGGCAATCATCTATGGGGGGGACAAGCTGGTGAGCCTGAGCCGGAAGAAGGTGGAGATCAGTGTGGTGAAGGCGGAGCTGCTGCCGTCAGGTACCAGCCTGGCCCAGCTGGGGAGCACCAGAGGTGGACCCCTCAGATGGGGGAGATAGCTCACCAGGCCCCTGAGCCCCCTCACTGCCTCTGACACCCCCTCGGGGACTCTTGGAGCTTTCCTGATGGAAATGCAGACCCAGGAAGGGTTGTGCTTGGCTCGCAGGAGACTTGCAGACAGTAAGAAGAGGCAGCTGAAAGTGCATTCAGAAGGGTTAGAGGATGAGAAAGACCCCCACATGTGTGGCCTGGGGACAGGGGAAGTGCAGGCCAGGAGGCCATATATCCCTCTCCCATCCCTTCTCTCAGAGAAAGGCAAATGGCCTAGATTGCCAGTCTGTGGTTGAGAGTCAGTGTTGGCCAAAATGGGGATTGGTCTCACCGTGGAGGCTGGCAAAGAAGATTTGAGGTGTCACAAGACTCACATTGTAAGACAACTCATCTCAATCAGTTTTATTTCAATCAAGGCTACTTAAGAGCAAGGTCTCAGAGTGGTGTTGGGATGCCTTTCTATGCTCCAGCATTTGCTAATCTTTTTCAACAAAGAGAGGGCAGGTCTGAGGCCAAGCTGTGGCCAGGCAACAATCAGAATCCAGCTAAAATTTGGTGACAAAACATATTGCTTTCCACTTAGAGCACATGAAAACTGGTTTTCTACTTACTTTAGTGATAAAGTTTTCTGTCAAGATAAATTGAATTTAAAGAGTAAGTCAATTTAGAGAAAAACATTAGATAAGTGATGGTGCAGGAGGTGTGCAGATATGACCCATCACAAGGGTGACCCTCAAATGGTGGCGGTTTGGTGAGCCCTGACATCGTCCCTGGGGAGCCCAGGGCTCCTTCATCCAGGAGGTTGGCATTCAGGGCACTGGAATGAGGCCTGGACCTTTGGTGGGAAGAGGAAGGAGAGACGAGGAAAGGGGCTGGAACAGGGGAGCAGAAAAGCCTAGATCCTGAGTTACTCAGGAAACAGGGAAAGGGACCCTCCTACTCCCAGCCCCAGGAGCCCCACTTGGTCAGACCATGTGACCACTCCTGGGCCTCAGGAGTGTGGAGAGTCCTCAGGTCCCAGGAGCAGGCCTTCTGATCTCTGCTGTTCCCTGCCTGTGACCTTCAGGAGTGACCCGCCTGCAGTTCCAGCGGCCCCAGGGCTTTGAGTACAAGTCGGGGCAGTGGGTGCGGATCGCCTGCCTGGCTCTGGGGACCACCGAGTACCACCCCTTCACGCTGACCTCCGCGCCCCATGAGGACACGCTCAGCCTGCACATCCGGGCAGTGGGGCCCTGGACCATTCGCCTCAGGGAGATCTACTCAAACCCGCAGAGCAACGGCTGTGCCACATACCCAAAGGTGCCCATCATTGGGAACCCACTTTGGGGCCTCTGACATGGCAGAGGGTCCCTGCCTTCCTCCATCCTGAGTCTAGAAGCTCTAAGCACTCCTAGGGCAGGCTGGGAAAGAGCTGGGGTGCTCAGAAGAGGCTACAGTGCTCTGTATCCTCCCTCTGCCTGTCCCCCCCATTTCTGGCCTCAGAGCTGGGGCAGGGCTGGGCTCATCTCATCTCCCCCTCTCTTGGCAGCTGTACCTTGATGGACCCTTTGGAGAGGGCCACCAGGAGTGGCATAAGTTTGAGGTGTCAGTGTTGGTGGGAGGAGGCATTGGGGTCACCCCCTTTGCCTCCATCCTCAAAGACCTGGTCTTCAAGTCATCCTTGGGCAGCCAAATGCTCTGTAAAAAGGTGAGCATCCTTCCCCCATTCTTCAAATTGGGGACAGGCAGCCTGACCATGTTCTGACATCACAGCAGAGGAGAATGAGAGGAAGCTCCTGGCTCCAGGCCTGGGTGTGAAGGGGCCATTCACACGCAGTGATTGAGAGGCCAAACTTTGAGGGAGGGTTGGAGGTGCAGCCAGAGGAGCCTCTGCTTTGGGACCTGCCAGTTGGAAGCCTGGGGTCAGGCTGGTGGGTCCTGCCAGAGCTTTGGTGTCTGTGGGTGGTCTGGGGCTTCCCAGCTTCTCAGGGGAAGGCACCTGGGATGTAGGGAGCGTAAGTTGAGCTGGGTCTCGAGCTCCAGCTGTGTGTCCCCAGATCTACTTCATCTGGGTCACACGGACTCAGCGGCAGTTCGAGTGGCTGGCTGACATCATCCGGGAGGTGGAGGAGAATGACCACCAGGACCTGGTGTCCGTGCACATCTACATCACCCAGCTGGCCGAGAAGTTTGACCTCAGGACCACCATGCTGGTATGTCAGGGCTGGCCAGGCAGGGCAGGTTAGCAGGTAGGTGGGTTGGCAGAGTAAGGCCAGATGGCCAGGGCAGGTGGGTGGACAGCCAGCCTCAGCTGGCAGGAGGCACAGAGCTGGTGGCCCCGACTCTCAGCCTCCAGCTCCAAGCCCATCCTAGTCTCTGTCTCCTGGGCCGTGTGTGGGCTGGTCGGGCTGGGCACTGCACCTGGGGGTCCTGCGCCTGACCTGCCCTGTGCCCTCAGTACATCTGCGAGCGGCACTTCCAGAAGGTGCTGAACCGGAGTCTGTTCACGGGCCTGCGCTCCGTCACCCACTTTGGCCGCCCCCCTTTCGAGCCCTTCTTCAACTCCCTGCAGGAGGTCCACCCACAGGTCAGTCCCACCCCTCCCACCCCAGGACTCTCGCCTTCCCCCACCAGGATATCCCTGCCCTCTCCTGGGCAGAAAGCCCCCAACCCGATGCTGGCCCAGGCTGGGGTCAAGTGTTGGAGGTGAACATCAATGCCCTTCCCGCCCCCCCAGCTCAAGCCTCCTTCTCAGGCAGGGTCTGGGCTCGAAGCCTTGATCATTCTAGCCAGGCTGCAGAAGCAGCTTTGCCCATGGAGTGAGCGTCCCAAGGCGGCAGGCCTGTCCTCACTCCAATCCCCTGACAGGTGCGTAAGATCGGGGTGTTCAGCTGCGGCCCACCAGGAATGACCAAGAACGTAGAGAAGGCCTGTCAGCTCATCAACAAGCAGGACCAAGCCCGCTTCGTGCACCACTATGAGAACTTCTGAGCCTGCCCTCCTCAGCTCCTGCTTCCAGCCTCCTGCCTGGTCCCCTGTGGCCCTGAGTCACCGAGCCCTGCTGGCAATTTCCCTGTCAGAATCCACCTAGGGCCTTAGCTAGAGGCTGGAGAGCCCCTCACTCGTTGCCCCATCTGTCCCTGCTCTGAGAAGATAGACCAGGCCAACCCCCACCCCAGCTCAAACCATGGCAGGTGTGGCAAGCACAGTGGGGAGGGGACAGTGCCTGCTTGCGACCACTGTGAGGGTGGAGAGATATACTGGCATTTGTCTCCAGTAGGTCCTCTTGTTTCTGTTTGACTTCCACAAAATCAATGTATTGCTTTGGTATTTTCTTGGATCAGGCGTTTGAGGAAGGAGGGGGTGGGGATACCGAGGAGTGAGAATTTCCTCAGAGCCCAGCACAGAAGCTGTGACGGTCAGAACCTCAATGTCCCAACTGCCTCAACTCAGCCTCTGGGCCTTTTCCCTCCAGCTCCAAGAAGGAGCAGTGCTACCCCTACCCCTTCCTGCTCCTAGAGGGTCAGGAACCTTGAGGGGGCACCAGGGACCAAAGTAGCCTCCCCAGCCCTGATGTTCCTAAAGTCGGTGATGCCCTCACCCCTTGGCAGGCCCCTGTCTGACCCCACTGGAGCAGTTCCTGGGCTCTGGGACTGAGGCAGTCCAGCCCCTCTGCCAGACAGTCAAAGCTCCCTCTCAGTTCCCCACTTCTGCAGGGGTTGGGTGACCGACTGCCCCAGTTTTAGCACTGAAATTTCCACTTCCAGGAAATGCCTCAGTTCCAGGCAGATTAGGACAACTGGTCACCTTACGCAGGAGCCAAGCTGGGCCATCACCTCCATACTTGGCTCTTTAAGATCCTTCCTTTTCCTTCTTCATCTGGCTCTCTCCTAAAAAGCTGAGCTGTAAAGTATTTTAGATTGAGGTACAATTTATATATGGTAAAGTGTACAGATCTTAAAGTAATTGTGTATATGTGTCATCATTACCCAGGTTGAGATATAGAACATTTTAACATTTCCATCACCCCAGAGACTTCCATTGTACCCCCTTCCAACCAGTCTCCCCCAACTCCTAGGAGCAACCTCTGATATGATTTCTGTCACTCCAGTTTTGGTCACATTGAATGTGCTCTTTTGAGACTGGCCTTTTTCGTTTACCATAATGCCTTTGTGATTTATCCATGCTGCTGTGTGTGTCAGTGGTTCCTTGTTATTACTGAGTAGTATTCACTGTGGAGATGTACCATAGTGTGTCATTTCTTCTGTTGATGGACACTTGGGGTGTTTCTGGTTCAGGGTGAATATGAATAAAAATGCTATGAACATTCTTGTGCCTATCTTTTGATGGCCATAATGCATTTATTTCTCTTGGGTGTATATCTAGGAGTGGAATCGCTAGGTCCACAGTCCCCAACCCCTGGGCCTGTTAGGAACTGGGCCACACAATAGAAGATGAGGAGTGGGCAAGTGAGCGAAGCTTCATCTGTATTTACAGCTGCTCCCCATTGCTCACATCACTGTCTGAGCTCCACCTCCTGTCAGATCAGCAGTGGCATTAGATTCTCATAGGAACATAAACCCTACTGTAAATTGCCTATGTGAGGGATCTCGGTTGCACACTGCTTATGAGAATGTAATGCCTGAGGATCTGAGGTGGGGCTGAGGCGGTGATGCTAGCGCTGGGGAGCGGCTGCAAATACAGATTATCATCAGCAAAGAGGTTTGACTATACGGAGACCATAACAAATCAATTGCTTGCAGACTCATATCAAAACCCTATCAGTGGCCAGGCGCAGTGGCTCATGCCTGTAATCCTAGCACTCTGGGAGGCCGAGGCGGGCGGATCACTCAAGGTCAGGAGTTCAAAACCAGCCTGAGCAAGAGTGAGACCCTGTCTCTACTAAAAGTAGACGAAATTAATTGGCCAACTAAAAATATATAGAAAAAATTAGCCGGGCATGGTGGCACATGCCTGTGGTCCCAGCTACTCGGGAGGCTGAGGCAGAAGGATCACTTGAGCACAGGAGTTTGAGGTTGCTGTGAGCTAGGCTGATGCCACAGCATGCTAGCCTGGGCAACAGAGTGAGACTGTCTCAAAAACAAAAACAAAACAAAACCCTATCAGTGAGTGGTGAGTGACAACATAATAATAATAGCAATAAAGTACATACTAAATGTAATGCACTTGAAGCATCCCAAACCCCATCCCAGCCAGTCTGTGGAAAAATTGTCTTCCATGAGACCTGTTTTCTGCCAAAAGGTTGGGGACCGCTGTCCTAGGTCATAGAGTTCTTTCTTTAGTAGGACCTGTGGAGGGAGAGTTTCAGGCCATCTCCACATCCCTGCACCAGGGGGAGAAGGGGATGAGAATACACAAACCTAACGGGTGCGGCTCATGCAGTCTGGGGCATGGACACACTTGAAGCTCTGATTTCGGTGGGGCAAGGGCAATATACATAACCTAAACATTCTTACCCCCATAATATGCTGAAATAAATAAGTTTTTTTTAAAAAAAGAAGTGAGTTATGAAGGAGAAAGCAACATCCTCTAGGCTGATAATCAGAAACAGTGAGAGCTCTGTTGGCTCCCTTCTCTTGCTGTGGAATAGGCTCTTTAGTCGGCCTATCTGGATGCTCCCAGAGTCTTTCTGCTGGGAGGATCTCCCTTGTCTTTATTTTTTTTTTCCTGAGACAGAGTCTTGCTTTGTTGCCCAAGCTAGAGTGAGTGCCGTGGCATCAGCCTAGCTCACAGCAACCTCAAACTCCTGGGCTCAAGCAATCCTCCTGCCTCAGCCTCCCGAGTAGCTGGGACTACAGGCGTGCACCACCCTGCCCGGCTAATTTTTTCTATATATATTAGTTGGCCAATTAATTTCTTTCTGTTTATAGTAGAGACGGGGTCTCGCTCTTGCTCAGGGTGGTTTTGAACTCCTGACCTCAAGCAATCCGCCCACCTTGGCCTACCAGAGTGCTAGGATTACATGTGTGAGCCAGTGCGCCCGGCCCTCCCTTGTCCTTTGATTGCCACCATGCCTAAGGATGGTTGGAAGACTTCCTCTGGTGGTGTTTCTACTGCATTAGCAACCCACTTTCTGCTGTGGGGACTTGGAGGGCCACCTTAAGAACTGAACAATTGTAATCTTTGTTTGCTGAGGGAGCAATGAAGTTTGCTTGAAATGCTCAGTAAAAAAAGAAAGAAAGAAGAAAGAAAGAAAGAAAGAAAGAAAGAAAGAAAGAAAGAAAGAAAGAAAGAAAGAAAGAAAGAAAGAAAGAAAGAAAGAAAAAGGTATGAGAATGCATTATACAATTGCAGTGTGCAGAATTAGTCCACTTATTTATCAATAGCATCAGGCCTCCAGGCTTCCAGTCCTCCTGCCCCTCACCAAGTACACAACCAGTGAATAATCCTGAATTCCAGCCCCTTTAGTCTTAGCTTTAGGTTTATTCCCAAATATGACCCATCAGTGCCTTCCTATTCCTTTCTAAAAACTGCTCAAAGCATTTATCTGTCCCATCCTAATCCATCTATCCTTGCTAGACTGGAGAATGGCATTCATATTGCTGTCATGATTATTATCCATGGCACTCCTTCCTTAACCCTGACCTCCCTGCCCCTGTAGTGCCCAAGGGAGGGTCTCCTGAAGACCGAGTGATCACTGAAGATGTATCTCCAGCTGACTCTTGCCCAGACCCCAGGCAATGAATGCCACGCTGGACAGAGGCACATGCCGTCATGATCTTGAGTAGCCTCAGGTAGCACTCAGCCTGCCTGGCCTCAGCCCTGACTCCACACCCCAGCCAGGCTCTAGGTATCAGCCCTAGGCACGTATTCATGTGATCTGGCTGCTTTGTTCAACCCTGTACAGATTCCCAGGAAGTCACTGAATAAGTGGGATAAAAGTCAATGACTTGCAGAGAGGGCAAATCGTCTTTAGCATGGGCATTTGCCAGGACCCTATACTGGTCCCACCCTTCCTGTGGCCTTGTGACCAACTCTCTCAGGGAAGTGGGCTGGAAGGCAGGATCATGCAGACATCCAGCAACACGCCCTTGGGTTGAGAAACTGAGGTCATCAAATGCTTCAGTGTGTGCTGGTGAGAGATTAGACTCTGCAAAATATGTAAACAAGGGAGGCTACAAACATGTTCCAGAGAAAGAGGACTGGGGGAAGATGACTCAGAAAAGTCATGGAAATTTTAATATACGAACAGTGTAAAAGAAAGCAAACCTTCTCTAATCTGGGTCACAGAGATGTTGGACTTAGGCCCTGGGACAAAACTCAGTGACAAACCCTGCTGCACAGGGAGGGGGATGAGGATGAGAATAAAACAAGATTATAGAAGAAATCAAGTGGGATTGATGGTCATGGGGCTAGGGATGGAGAAGATGAGGATGAAGATGAGATTGGACGGAAGGGCTTTGGGGCCATGCAGGAACGGAAGGGATCAGGATAGGAGGTGAGCTCTGCAGAAGAGGAAGAAAGGCTTGATCATTGTCTTTTTTTCTATTATCACTTTCCGGCCCCAACTTCTGCTCCAACTGAGAGGGAGAAAGTTGATGAGATGTGGCATCCTTCCCACCGACTTACTTAAGAGTGAGGGCTCTTGGGTCAAATTGGGTTTGAGTCCTGGCTGGGTGACCTTGAGCAAAGAATGAAAACTTGATGCCTCAGCTTGTTCCTCTGCAAAATAAGAATAATGTGAGTATCTGCTTCATAGGGTTTGGGAAGATCCAGTGATATAATTCAGTCCAATTCAACAACTATGTGCTGAGCATCTGTTATTATGTACCAGGCACAGGCACAGTTGCTATGGAAACTTCCATGTTAGTGGAGGCAAACAGACAATAAACAAGTTAGCAGGAGAAAGAGGAGGAAGATGAGAAGGGGGTCTTAGATCATAAGTGTTTTGAAGATGATCAACAATGAAATAATAGTGAGTGACTCAGGGGGACTTTTTAGATATGATGATTAAGGGAAGGGCCCTAAGAAGATGACAATGAGATTATAACACCTAACACACACTGAACTTGCTGTGTGCCCCATGCTATTGTGTTCAAAACGTATTAACTCATGTAATCCTGAGGCCAACCATTATCCCCATTTTACAGATAAGGAAACTGAAGCACAAAGAGTTTACACAACTTGCTCAAAGTTACCCAGGCTGTAAGTGAGACTAGATTTGAACGCAGAATGTTTAACCAGAGACCATGCCCTTAACTACCATTTTATCCTGCCTCTCAAAAGCAGGTTGCAAGGGTTCGGGCAAAGTTAATGTATGGAAAGCCTTAAACCGCACCTGGCTCCTAGCAATATTGTTATTAGCATTACTGTTGGTAAGAGAAGTTGAGGCTCTGAAAGGAGCGCTCCATATTCTGAGGAGTTTTGGATATGTGGGCTTGAGAGATAGTAAGTGGCTTGTTCCTAGTCCATACCTGTCCCCTGTTTGACTTCTAACCATAACCTTCTCAGGGATGAGGCCTCCCCTACCCACCCCAGAGAAACCTCCTCCTCCAACCACCATAATCCTCTGGAAGTCAACCCATCCCAGCCTTGCCTGGAATGGGATGTGATAAGGTGAGCTGACCACCTCCCCATCTGGTCTCCAGGAAGCGGGAAAGGGCTCAGGAACCTCTCCAGTTGACTTCACAGGAATTCTATCTTCCTTGGACAGTGACCATAGATGAACTAAACATGAGGGTCCCCCCTTTTTGAGAGGGAAAGTCTGGGAGTGAGATTCTAGGAATGGCTGCCCAAAAATGCACTGTATGCTGGAATCAGGGGACTTGGGTTCTGTTGCCAGCCCTGTTACTAAAATCACTGTGTGTCCTGAGGGAAGTCACCAGAGTTTTCTGGGCCTCAATTTTCTCACCAAGAAAACAAAAGGATTAGGCTAATACCCCTTCCAGACCTGAAATTTCATAGCTCCCTTTTGCACTCATTGTCTCAAATGGGTGGAAGTCCTATATTTGGAAAACAGCTTCCTTGGCCTTTTATCCAAAGTTAAATGATCTAGAGAAAGGAAACTAACATTTGTAGGTTTGTTTGCTTTGTGTCAGGTCCTACAACGCATTTACATAATCTGCCTGCTTACTCCTCACAACTCTTTGGAGCAGATATTTCCTCCATGTTATAGAGGAGGCACTGAGACTCAGAGTGAATGGCCCACAGGCATCCAGCTAGTAACAGGCAAAGTCAGGGTTTGAACTCGGGTTCTGTAGTATCTTGGACTCCCTGCTCTTTCCATCCTGATGCCCATGAAGGTATAAAAAGGAGAATAAGAAGCAATCAGGCATTTTCATAATTTATTTC